GTTCAAGAAATCGTAGCGTTTGCTGGGCGGTGCCCTGTAACTAATCGATCCTGTGACTGTTGTGGTGTCGCGGCAGGTACAACGGGATTTGCTTGATGGCGCAGAAGCTCGTGAACATCATAAAGCAGATGGATCCGAGGGACCCTTTCAGAATCGAGATGACGGACATGCTCATCGATAAGCTGTAAGACGCCGCAGACCCTCGATGCATGTGTGATGCTGTATGCATTTGTTTGTTTGAAATTTTTACTGCATACTGTGAGGACTGTATATCCATCATGGGCCGCAACCTTGTGAGAATGCTCCAGGCTTATCTGCAATTGCCACTTTGATTGTTATTATAGAGTTAGAGATGTGTGAGGCTTTTGATGTGTGCTCTTGTCTATAAATTAAGGACCCTGGTAAGTACCGAACGTCATGTACGAGCACATGGCAACTCTGAACATTTTCGGCGGCATGTTTAGTGACGTGAGGATGGCAACTTTCGTGCTTGCGTGACTGGAATTGCCGTGTGTCACTGCACATTGTCATCCTTGCGTGACTGGAATTGCCATCAAAAAACGTCAGGGCCAGAGTGCCACGCACCTGCTGTGTGGCACTTATCATTTGAGTATATTAATTGTACTTTCGACATATGTTAGCACTACTTGATTATTTGCCCAGAATGCATAAACCTCTCTGAGATTATCGGTTTCTCATTATACTCTTCTGCTTATGTCTGAGCATGCTCGTGTTGGTTGAGTAAGCCATCTTACCAGAATCATCTAAAACTATTTCCTTTTGGTTAAATCATGCAGTTCTTGCTTGCCACTTCCGCTTATTCCTTGCTACTTTCACTGGCCTGCTCATTTGTCTAGTCTAAAGAAGTTTTCTTGAATTTCAGGTATAATATGGGTGTAATTCCAACAAAGAAGAGCTTGGTTAAATGTGAGAAACTTTCAGTGAGCGCCTTCGCCAGGTCTCTTTGTCTCTCTCCCGGGTTATAACATTCTTTGATCGCTGAATATAGTGCATTTTATTTGCCAGTTAATTTTAGAAAGCGTTTATTGCCAAGAATCACTCAATGACCTGTGTACGTGTCATATTTCACTTACCATATTGTTTGCTAAACTATTGTAGGCGGAGACTTGCAACAATTATGGTGAAGCTCAAGTTTGCTGAACACCTTAAAGAGGCCGTCACCTACATTGAACAGGGCCATGTGCGTGTAGGCCCAGAGACGGTCACCGATCCAGCCTTCCTTGTGACCAGGAACATGGAGGATTTCATCACCTGGGTGGATTCCTCAAAGATCAAGAAGAAGATCATGGAGTATAATGGTGCATTGGATGATTATGATGCCATGATTTAAAGATATGTTGTGATAGTAGAAATTTTGGGAACATCAGTGGTTCAGTGTAGCTACTCCTGTAATATTTTTTAAACCTGAATCTGAGGCTAAAATATGTCGAGGTAGTTATCTGTTGCAAAGCTACTTGTGTGATGAAAGCTTAACTGCTATAGAATGCAAATGCCATAATCAGTTCATACTTGTCCCCTTCCGCTTTCCCTTGCACATGCTGATACAGTATCATACATAAATTTTGATGTTCAGCTGAATATGTACAATGTGCGTTCTACTCTGCAAGTTGATTGAATTGCTTGTTGCTAACAAATTGTGCTCTGGTAAAAGCACGTTGTGTAATTCCCTGATCTTCCTGTCTATGAATTGTATATGTAGCTGGACTTCGGATGAATTGCTGATATGAAGTATCATAAGTTGTGATGCTGCTCTTTGACGAATGAAGAAGCAAATTTGGACAATAAGCTGGGAACCCAGGAATAAATTAACGCAAAAGACTAGCTAGTTTCTCCTATTTACTGCTTGGTTTTACAACAAACGTACAGGTGTATTGGCTAGGATGGCAGGGGATTGCTTAGCTCTCTATGGTTTGAAGGTGTACCCCCAGAATTAGCTCCATTTTTTCTTGATGATGCAGCTCTTATCACAAGTTAATAAAAGACGTTCCTTGATGTAAAGAAAAGTTACCACGGAGCTGACGAAACAAATCACTGGGAAATTCTTATCTCTGAATTACAGCAAGAGCAGTTTCCTTACAGCGATACAAAGAAGCAGCCTTGTTTTGTTGTTGTTGATGTACAGATGTAGCCTAAAATCAACTTGGTTTCATTGAACATGAACAGCCATATTGTTTCCTTTTTCTCTGAGTTTTTATGGTATAAATTTTACAATCTGCTGCTGTCATGCATGATGTGAATACTGAATAACAGCACAGGTGCTCATCTATGTAGTTCGTTGGGTCGTACCAAATTGAAAGGTCAAATGTTTATTCATTCAAACTGAAAGTAAACGGGTGACGAGTGCAGTCTCATACTTCAACAACAACGAGTGACGTGCTCACGACCTCAATATAGCATCAGATCTTCATAAACACAATTTAATCATCGCATAACCGCAAGCCATTTTCTACACGACGCCTTTGTTCTCTCGACAGCAAATTAATCTTTCCGTCATCTTGGTTATGGAGCCCAACCACTGCAGTTGTTTCCCACGGATGCGTGCATGCGCACTGAATCGCTGGCACTTGAGGCGAGGAGGAAGAACTGGAGGTTGCATTTGGTTCCAACCTGGTAGCAACATACCGTGCTTATTTATTTCCCATGAGAATAGGTGCCAATTCCGTTGGATCAAATTCATGCTCTTCCTCTTCTCTATCCGCGGACAGTTTTTG